AAGCCATAAGCATCTTGAGGCTAAAAGCCAAGTGAAAATATAAAAATCAGTAATTACATCACAAGCATTAATCAAAAATAAGAGTACCGGATAGTAGTTAATAACTAAAGGTAACAAACCTCAGCAGGCCAGGCATCAGATTCTTTCAAGCTCACATTAGTCTCCAACTGCTTAAATTCAGGGTAGATACAAGCACTGGAGGCATAGAAAAACCTAAACAAACCAAGATGTCAAGTGTTGAACCAACTTTAAACTTGAAAAAGGAATTGCAACCAATAATAGGCAAACATACAGAGCAACAATCCAACAAACCTCTTAACTCCATTGATCCTAGCAGCCTCAAGCATGTTGAAACTGATCATTGTGTTGTTGTACATAATGACAGAGTGATTGGACTGAATGAAACCCATCCCACCCATATCGGCAGCAAGGTTGAAAACATGATCCACTCCATTGGTAACTTTCAAGCAATTGTCCATGACCCGAAGATCAACAAGATGGAATTCATCACAAAACATATCTTCAGTCATGTGCTCATTCTTCTTCCAGTCAGAAGCAATGATGTAATGGCCTTCACTCTTCAGACGTCGAGCAATGTGGGATGCAATGAACCCACCTGCCCCAGTGATTGAAATTCGGAGTTTCTCAGATGGCCAGTAAGGCTCCCTCTCCAGGGCATCATAGGTGTAAGCACCATAGTTGGTCCCATCAGCACTTCCCATCCTGCATATGCTCAATTATAAACATCCATTAGGCACAATTAAATTTTGAAGAAGCAAAAGCAGGAAGCAAATGAACAACCAAATTAATGCTACATGCCATCATGCAATGACCCTTTTAATACGACAAATCAAAGATCAAAAAGAAAATAAAATGTTCAGATGCAATCTTAAAAGAGTAGAAAATCTCTACTTTAAGGAATAAAATTCAAGAAGAAAAAACATACAACAGCAACTCACATCCACTATACAAAGGAAATCATAAAATAAGTAACACTCAAAAAGTACAAGGACAAAAAATTAATAGAAGTGATATAGTTTAAGAATATAAAATTTCAAGTTTTTATATTTCTATGTATTCCTTTAGCTAGTAAAGCCAAAATGCACGAAGAATTTAATATTAACAGCAACATAATTTACAAAAACTTAAAAAAAAAAAAAGTCCCAATTCAGAATAAAAGTGCAGAAAACAAATCAATATAAGCAATATAAGTTCTTTTTAAAAAAGAAAAACACCTCTTGACAAGCAAATTTTTCCTTCTTTTTGGGACTAAACAAGCAAATCTTAAAGCAATATAAGTTACTGCTAAAATCAGCTAATTTGCTCAAAATTTTCAAATTTTGCGTGGAAGGAAAATAAACAAACACAATATCTCAAAGGACTATGAACCCAAAAACTTGTTAAATATAAAAGTACCATAAAAGAATCCTCATCCTCAAAGCATGAGAGAAGAGAATCCAAAAATGTGAGGCAGAGGGTCAATAAACATGCGATTTGAAACAAACCCAGAAAAAGTTAAGCCACAAATAATGAATGGAAGCGTTGAGAAACCAAAGACGATCGAGGGAAAAAATCCTCAGAAACAGAGCAACGAAACAGGGGAAAGGGAAACCAAGGAACACCCAGCACATATTTTTACCTGAAAAGAGTTAAAAGTTGGGAACTTTTGAAGAGAAGAGATAAATGCAAGAAGCGAGAAAGGAAGGTAACTTGAGATAGGAGATGAATGGGTATGGATTGTGAAGCCTGTAACGCTCTCCTTTCTATATATAGGGAGAGAGCCACCAGGGACCCGGGGGACAGACTACTTAAAAAACCAATTCTTTTATTACATATTATTACTTTATAGTTTTCTTTTTAATTATTTTATTTTTTTCAATATTTTTGAGAAAGATTTGAAGAGAGAAACAATGATTAAGTGAGAGAATGTCTTTTCCCTTTTTTTATTATTTTTTCTTTTTTATTTGAATTTAATTCTTTAAAAATAACAACCATAAAAAATAAAATTTTTACGAGTTTTGTTAAATAAAAAGTCAAAAATTTTGAGTTTAAATATTAATATAAGTTGACTTTGTTAAATTTTGTATTAACTTTTTAATTATATCATTTTAAATTTTTTGCCATGGTTTATACTATACATATTATAGAAATTCAAGTAATAAGGTTTATTTCATAATTGAAGCAATTTAATATATTCTTGATTGAGTAAAAAAAATTTATGTTTTCTGAAATTAATAATAAATTCTCAAATCACACAAAATCTTTTGTTTTTCATTTTATGATAATGATGTGATAATGATGTGTTTGTACGTGAATATTTATTGTTTATATAATTTTTTATAATAATTACGTATATTGTTTTCTAAAACATCAAATTTAAAAAATAAATAATTGAAATTTTATAATGTTAATTGTAAATTATTCTATACAATTAAAATTAAAAAAATATTTTTTAATAAATATCATTCTATACATTTAAAATTCTTATTTACAAATTGAATAAATCTAATCAATGTTTATAATGAAAAATAAATAAATATATGTATATATATATATAAAGATAGAAAAAATAAAATTTACTTCCTTCTTTTCTTTTTCCCATTGAGAAACTTTCTTTTTTTGGCAAGAATATCTTTGTTTATCATCTAGTGTAAATATAAAAAAAAAATAAAAAAGGGGAAGTTTTATGATAGTTTCCAACATTTTAAACCCAACAATAATATAAAAAAATAATTATCCAAACAATTAATTTCTATTTTTGGGCCTATTGTTATTTTGCATCAATATTTTCCTTAGATTGTGAAATTTGGACTCATTAATCCTTGGGAAATTGTGGGCAAGGGATGGCCGCAAGCCTCAAGTGGGTCATTTGTACATGAGGGAAAATTCCTAGAAAGCGGCTTGGAGGTGAAGGCTTTGTTTGGTTTCGGCACCTAACGAAATTACTTGGAAAGCGCTTTTCCCTTTGTGAACTATCGTTTGCTTTATCACAATTGCCTACCAAAGACACAGTCATTAACAGTAAACCAAACACTGCTCCAAACAAAAAAAAACACAAAAAGGTGGAAAATTCCAAATAATTTTTTTTTACGGAACTTTTTTTTTTGGTACCAAAATTCATTAGATTTCGAACAATACAATAGATTATGGACTATAACTTTCTTCTAACTTCGTTTGTTTCGATTTTTAAGACTCACAATTGAGATTTCCCATTCGAGTATATATCTTATGAGAAAAATTCTAATTCGGATTTTGTGTTGCCTTGGATACCATATTGTAAGATTATCACATGACTACATGTTTGTACTATAATCAAGTACTATTTTTTATGGACACACATGGATGCAAGATCTTGATGAAAATGTGACCACAAATTGGAAATATTGCTGAAGGATGAGACTTCTCAATCAAAGGAAAGGCCCACCCTCTCATAGTGAAAATGCAATTACTTGAATGGAAGTGATGATAGGTGCCAAAACCAAAAATTAGGTCTAAATAATCCTTTTTTTTTCTCTCTCTAATGCAATAACCCTTTTATGAATAATTGTTGTTCAACACATTTTCCATATGCGGAGTGATGCTTCTCCATCTATGTTCTTTTTCTTTAATTTTTTTTTTAACATAAATACTTCATCCACTTTCACATGATTCATAATCAAAACGTGGGCTATAGCTTCACCTTTTTATGGTTTGCAAATCACTATTTTTGGCATAAAATTTCAAACACAATGATTGAGACAGATGACATTAGCCTAATAAAAGTCAATATAATATTTAAAAAAATTTTAAATAAATTTTTATTATTTTATTACGTTTAATAAAATTTTTATATTTTTATTTTGAATCAAATAGGTCATTATATTTAACGAGTTTTTCTTTTATAATTAGAGGAAGAAGAATTCGAATCTTACTTTTTAAATAAAAAGATTACATACCTATACTCCCACATTTTTATGCTGTCTGAATTTAATCATTCTCACCCAACAAGAGAATATTATATTAAAAATATATTCCGTGTAAGGAAATATCACCACTTTTTATTTAGATTTATGACATGCAATTGTAATTTTTAACACAATAATTTATTTTCATTTTTCTCACTTGTCACCAATTTCACCTCCATTGAAAAATATTTTATCCATAATAATCAAACATACGATGCGTAAAAGTAATCCAACTTATCATAAAACACAAGTACATGTCAATATTTGAATAGAATCAAGATTTATGATATGGAATAACTATCTTGTAGTACAACTATATGAAGGGGAAATTTTTTTTGATGAATGAACTAATAGAAATTTTTGGTTGAAAAAATAGAAAATTAGATATTGATACAAAAATCTTGAAAAATAAAGATATAACATTTTAAAAAGTCTCTGAACAATTCAAAAAATTTTAAATTAATTTATATTATTTATTACCTTCAATTAATTTTTTATATTTTTATTTCAAGTTAAAGTGATTTTTATAACTAATAATTAATTTAACTATTATTTTTATTCCAACATAATATTGATGTGGATGGTAAAAATGTTATTTGATTACATAATTATATTATATTAACATATCATGTCACTATTTATTATTATATTTAACATGTCACGTTATGTCAACACCAAGTAACATAAAAAACGACAAATATCATTTTTATTAACGGTAATTAGTTAGTCAATCGTTAATTATAAATATTTAGTTGATCCAAAATAATATATAAAGACCTGTTGAGACGTAATAGAAGAACAAATATTATTAATTTTTTTTTGAATAATTTAAATCTTTTTTAAATATTATACCAAAAAATAAATTTATGCAACAAAAATGGATTAAAGACCACTGAATTTAAAAGACATTTGGGCTTTGTTCCTATGGACCCCTAATTAGAAAGGCCCTAGAATGTTACCTAGAGCCCAAGAAAGTTTAGGCTTCGACCATTTATTTTTAGGCCCAATGGCTTTCGGGTTTGGTTTTAGACTAAAAATCCAAGAAGAACTTGGCTCTGTTCAAATATAATCATTGAAAAGTAAAACAAAAAAAAAAAGAAAAATAATATAAGTTTCTCTCCGTCTTTCTCGTCGATCCGAAGCTCTGAGAAAAGGTTTGATCTTTATTTTTTATTTTTTTAGTTTTTTAATAATCGTTTTATATTTATCAGATTTATTTAGATAAATTTTAGTAGTAATTAAATCTGTTTGGATAGTCGGAAAATCGAGCAGTAGGAAAAGATAAAACATAAAAAGGACATAAAAAAAATTTCTTTGGCCTTAGGATTAATCTCAGCCAAATTTTACTTTTTTTTTTCCTGTAATTTTTTGGAAATCTTTGCTTCAAAGATTGGTTTTTTAACTCTTAAATTATATATTTTTTAAAGAAATGGCGGGAAGAGCTCAGATTCCGACATGCAATTCAGCACTAATTGCAATGATTGCTGATGAGGTACATGGAAATTAATTTTTTTTTTTTAATTTTTTAGCATAATTTTGATGATTGGAGTTTATTTTATTTTGATGTGATGCAGGATACAGTGACTGGATTTTTGATGGCTGGAGTTGGAAATGTGGATTTAAGAAGAAAAACCAACTACCTAATTGTGGATTCGAGTATGATTTTCGGTTTATTTCTTTACAGCTTTTGTTGAATTTTCAAGTATTTTTATGATTCCTTGCAATGCTTATGATTACTCTGTAATTAGAGCACTCCAGCATTTGGCTTGATTCACTAGTAAGTGCATATATCTCTGCTCAAAAGATTGGATTCGAATCTCCCCTTCCCCAAATCGAATAATAATTACTCTACTAGCTGATCAGAGCTAGGTAGGACTTAATTGTTGCTGGACGGGAATTGTAGGTAGTTCAGTTCAGTGGCTGTTGAGCCTCTGTTTCCATCACTGTTGAACATTTGTATTTAGATCATTAATCATAAGACAGGAGATACGCTCATAGATAGTATTTTTAATCAAATTGAATTGATTGCACTGCGGTTGTGTTGTTTGCTTCAAAGTTTCCATTGTGTTAGGCGTAATTCACTTATGCTACTCTTTTCTCAACTTGCAAGGGATGGTTCTGAGCTTTATATGTGTTTTTATATAATAAAACAACCATAGCCTTAAGGTTGCTCTTGAGATGCAGATAAGTGCCAAATATTAGTTGTGGCCTCAATTTTTACTGTTTTGGCTTATTAGTTTTTCAGATTTTGAGAAATTTGTAGCAGCTGTTTAGGGGTGTTTTGAAAAGTGTGGTTTCAAAAGTAAGAATTTTAGATGGTGGATGCTACCATGGTACTTTGTAAGGGAATGAAACTATTGTTCGTCCTACTGTTTTTCAGTATAACTAGCTCATTTCATATTTATGTTCTAAACTTTCACTATATATCTTCTGTCTGCCTTGTTTTTGTTTGCTAATGTTAGTTTTCATGTTTTTGCTCAGAAACAACTGTGAAGGCAGTTGAAGATGCATTCAAAGAGTTCACCACAAAGGATGACGTTGCTATTATTTTGATCAGTCAATATGTAAGTTATTCCTCATGAATATGTTGTCTAATAATATGAAAGTGGGTTATGCTCACTTCTGTTGACCATGATGAGGAAATGATTCACAAACCATTTGCTACTATCACTTAATGACTGGTTATGGAAGTAATCACAGCGTAAAATCCCTGTTGCATGATCACATTATCTTAATTCCCTTACCATGTTTCTTAGAATCATTAACAGGTATAGCCAGCCACTCTGATAAGTCAGGCAATTTGAGTTGCCTGGTTAGCCATGGTGAAATGAAAATTGGGAAGGGAACTTTGACAGTAGCTTGTTAAGCCGAGAATTGTCTTATGTACTAGCAGTATATCATACTAGCATGTATTGCGATCTTTGGGTTTACTCCAAAGCTCTTATCATTTCTGAGAACTAACTTTTCTTCCAATCTATCAGGTCGCAAACATGATACGGTTTTTAGTTGATAGCTATAATAAGCCGGTTCCAGCAATTCTCGAAATTCCTTCAAAGGATCATCCTTACGATCCTTCTCATGATTCTGTTCTTTCACGTGTGAAGTATCTCTTCTCGGCCGAATCCGTTGCATCTGGAAGGCGTTAACCATGTCCTACTGGTCTGCTTATCAAATTCCAATTATGGTATAGGACCATAGTTGATGTAGCTGCAAAAGTCTGTGCAAAATCATACACCATCATAAACTATATCATCAATGTACTTCCCTGTGATTGATTATTCAGCCTTTTGCGGATCGAATAACCTCTTCATTTCTTGTGTATGTTGTATTTATTGAGTACCAGAATCTGAGATCAAGGTTACAAGAACAGCTTGAATGAATTTGCCTGTAGAAGGCAAAGAAGCTGATTATTTTCATCATATTCCCTTTGAAGACCCCTCTTGGTCCTAGTTGTGGGCTTCTGGCCCATGTTGTGTTTGGTTTGTTAATTCCATGGGCTCTATAAGGCTTGAACAAACAGTAAACATGAAGGACTTCCTTGCTTTGTACCCTTACCCCTTGAGGTAATATAAGCATAATAAGCTCATATCGAGTTGGACAGAACTCAATCGCGAACAACCGAAATGATTAATTATTGTTTAACCGATAAGCACAAGGCACAATCATGGTTTTCAGCTTAATTATGAAGAACTTTTTTTTTCCTTTTTGGAAAATATTTTTTAATCTTTTTTTTCTTCATAAGGTGATTGGCAAAGAGAATTTTACAAACTAATTAGTTGAATTTTACTAATTTTTGTTATCATGATTGTTTCGTTTCAAGAGTAATACAGTAAAGAAAAATTAAATAACACTCGCGATGATAAGTGAAACTCAACTCTTTTTTTCATGAATGTTTAAACTATTTTTATGGTAAATTATCGATATATGTTTTTGTAATTTGGAAATTAGTGTGTGATAAATAGTAATATGGTTTTGTTGGTAATAATAAATTAGTTTAGAGAAATTATTGAATTAAAAAATTAATCGTAATTATAATAAGGACCAACCGAGACTTTAAACAAAACCGTCCCTTGCAAAAGGAAAAAGGCTTCACCCTTTCAAACTTGGTATGGAAACCTTCCAATTAAAGCTTTACTCACAACTTTTCATTCCCACTTTTATTTGTTTCTTCTCTTGTTTTGTCATTAATGGAAAACACCCACTCCCACAAAAATGCCTTTATAGGAGGCCCCAACATGTTTGTTTAGTACCCCAAATAACTGTGCTTAAAAAGGGTATTAATCATGACTAAGGTATATAAACAAACACAACTTAGCTATTGCCTTTAAAAAGAAGGAAAGAAAAAGAAAGTAAACTCTACCTAATTCCTTACGATTTTAGCTTTTCTTACATAATATTTTGTGATTTTTTTTCTCGATTAATGTTACGTGAATATCTTTTTTTTTTTGAATTAACATCTTATGCATAACTTGTATTTTGATCGAAAATTGAATTGTTAATTTTTTTAATAAAATTATGAAAATATTCTCAATTTGAAATTAATCTATTTGTTCATATTTAGGAGTATGTTTTCTTTTTTTTTGTAATTCTATTAAGCAAACTTAATAATTTATTCCTTATGAAAACTAAAAGTTAAGGTGTTAATTGGAAAAAAAAATATTTGTAAGGTGCACTGTAAGAAGTGTAGGTAGAGTTTACCTAAAAAAATAAAACATTTTTTATTTTGTTATTTATAAATAAAAGGATGATTTTTAATTAAAAGCAAAAAGGTGAATTTAGACCGACCTTGGGGCTGTCAGGCTTTACGTGGATAACATGGGCCCCACCGAATTGTGGGGCCCAATGAAACAGTTATCCAGAAAAGAGCCGCCGCATCTCAAGGAGGGGGACTTTGAACCAGTCGTCCCTACCCATCCAATGGAAATTCTATGCTTTCTTCCAAAGATTTTTTCATGTGCTTCGAATGACCATGTATTTTTCTATAATAAAAAAAAAAAAAACCCCATTTTTCTTTTTAAAATAAATATATACAAATATTGATTTAATCGATCAATTCATTTGTCTTGATATCGAATGACTCCGATTCGGTATTGTTCGGAATATACAAGAAGTAAGTAAAGAAACGATGTATTTCTGATTATTTGTTTTCGAATTTTTCTAATAATAAAAAAGAAAAAATTCATATATTTTTTATTATTCAATTGAACAAAAATAGTTGAACCAATTTCATTATCCAAAAACCAAAAAAAAAAAAAAGAAAAGGGAATTCAACCAAATGTCTCTGTTGTTTGGTGGCTACTTGCTAAGCTTGAAAGATATTTTTCAAAGAGCGTATCAATTTTGGTGGATAATAATAAGAACACCTTAGACTACAAAAACTTTTATTTCCAAATTTAGGGTTTATTTCATTCCCATTGATTTATTTTCCCAAATTTCAATTGCCAATCATGCAAAAAAAAGATTTTCTATCTTTCTCCAACAACTAGTAATTACAATAACCCAATAACTACTTTCTATTTATTTTTTTTGCTTTCAATAATTCATAAAATTTACGAATGAGTCGCTCCATTTTACGTACTAAAACTATTATATCATATCGTCTTATTTTTTTTTATTTTTTTTCACTTTTAGTATTGTAAAAATTAAAAATTCATTTTTTTAATTATCAACAAATACTTATTTTATAGGTAAAAACATATATATTTATTTTACAAATTGATCTTAATTATACATACCAATCTTTGATCCTCAATCATACATTCTTTACATTCATTTTATTGAATATGTTAACTTATGTATAACGCATATAAATCTACTTATACAAATTTTTAATAAATGAAATAATAATAAAAAAAAATTATCCGACTCATGGTTGTACCAAAAAATAAAGATGAGTAAAACTAAATTAAATCAATTACCCATTCAAATCAAATACGATTTTGATAAACGGTTCGATCTAATCGATTTATAAAATCAATTGGTTCAAAATATTTGGTTCAATTAGTTTTTGGATCGGTTTTCAATTTTAAAATTTTTAGATCAATCCTCCCAAAAAACTAAACTAATTATATATATTTATATATGTTAATATCTATAAAATATTTTTAACATATATTAAGAAGAATTGATACTAAATTTAATTAATACTATATTTTAAATATATTAATTTACTATATAAACGTATATAAATCATAGTCATAAAAATTTAATTTTAATTATATATATTTATAAGTAGTATATTTTAAATGATAAAACTTATATGTTAATATTATAATATATGATAATAAATATTCTACATATTAATATATTATAATTACTATAACTTAATAATGTTTCGTAATATAAAATATATATATAATTATATATATTATATATATTTAATTTATACATAAGTATTACTATAATTTATAATAAACTTTATTTATATGAAGATACTTAATAACTTTATTAATTATTACTTTAAATTTTTTAACATATTATTTATAATTAATTATTATTTATACAAACTTTAAGATGAAAACATTCTAACATATTAGTTATGTTATTAATTATATATATAATAAAGTAATATATTATATATATATGCATATATTTAATTTATAAATAAGTATTCTTGTAACTTATAATAGACTTTATTTATATGATTACATTTAATAATTTTATTAGTTATTATTTAATTTTTATAATATATTTTTTATAATTAATTATTATCTGTAATAAAATTTAAAATATTATAACATATAAATTTTATCATTAATTTCATATATATAATAAAGTAATATAATATATAATTTATGCATAATATATATTTTATAATTATAAATGAAATTTATAAATTTTAATATTATAATTTATAAAAAAATAAACTTTTGATCTATTAATTCAAAATTAAATAGATCAAATTAATTTTATATTTAATCAATTTAAACTTTTCTTTATATTTAATTAATTTTAAATTTATTTAATTTTTTAAATATAACCAATCAAATCAACTAATTCACCCATATACTCATCCTATCACGAAAATCCTAGAGACAAGAGCACCGAAATTTACTCTCCTTATCCATTTGGAAAATGGGAGTGGCCCCACATTACAATATTCCAAATCAAAAAAATAATAAAAAATTGAGAAAAATTCTAAATCCCAATCCCTTTGACACGCATCTGAATCAGCAGATAATAAAACCAAACCACCCTAAACGACCCAACCAAGCACAAGAATGGATAGAGTCTTCTCTGTCGAAGAAATCTCCGACCACTTCTGGTCCTCATCCTCCGCCGTCTCCACCGCTGATGACGATAAGAAACCCGGCTCTCAAATGAACCGTAGTGCTTCCGAGTGGGCTTTTCAGCAGTTTCTTAGTGAAGAAGCTGACAGGAAAGGTGAAGATGAAGAAGGAGAAGAGGAGGAGGAGGCTAAGGAAGAGCTGAAGGAGAAGAAGGAGAATGGGGTAATGACTTCGTTTAATGGGTGTTTAGAGAACAAAGATAAAAATAATATTCCAGTGGATTCAGAGGAATACCAGGCTTTTCTTAAAACCAAGCTTAACTTGGCTTGTGCTGCTGTTGCCATGTCAAGGGTAATTCTTTTCTTTTCTTTTTTGTTTTTTTTTTTGTGTTTGGTTGATGAGGAAAGGTGGGTGGCAATAAAGTAGGAAAACTTTTGATCTCTATTGTTTTTTTTTCTTTATAAAAAAATGAAATTTTTTCTGGTTTACGTTTGGTTATTAAGAAAAGTTAAAGGGAAAAGAAAAGGGAAGTGAGGGAAGTATGGATTTTTGACTTGTTTGAAGTGACATTTTGGTTTCTGCTTTCTGGGTAATGGAAAAGGTAGCTTCTTTTACCTAGATAGGTTCTAAATACTAGAACTTCGTTTTTCTGGGCCAGTGTTGGTTTGTTCTAATTTTCTGGGAAAATCAAGGTTTTCTGGTAGGGTGTTGTTTTGCTTTCTGGATAATGGAAAGGTTACCATGGATTTTCTATTTTGGCCACAGGAAAGGTTCCGACGTGATTTACTCATTAGTTTAGTTAAGTTGATGATTTGTCTCGTTGACCTCTTGGTACCACTAAATCATGAAAAGCTAATTTTTAGGATTGTATCAGTAGTTTATTTTCTTAATTTCTGATTGGTGGTGGGTATTTATTCTCCCTTAGCTTTGGAATTTGTGAATAAATTTGGTTGAGATGATTTTTAAATGATTTTTGGGTATTCTATCGTATAAGAAAAGTGTCTTTTTCCTTGGAAGAGTTAAAATCCTGATAGGACAAAGAAAGAGCTGGAGATCAGTTGGGCATGGGCTGTACATAGCAATTTTTTTGATGATTTAACCAAAAACCAAAAGCGAGAAACCGAAATGCCTAGAAATGATTGTGCTTGAGTTGACCAATGACCATGCCTCAAAAAATCGGAAAACAATTGAGTAAAAGTCGATTAATACTAAGTTGCACTGTCTGAAGCTTGTTGACCAGAAAGTAAGGAATAGAAAGGGCTATTTTTAGCATGAAAGATCTTCTACGGGCTTTGTGATGGCAATTTGTTTCAGAAAGGACAACTTAGCAAATAGAAAATCCTAGATCTTATTACTGGCTTCTACACTTTCGCTATTCTCATTGGATGATTGGCTTTTATGAACATCTGAATAAAACATATGCGCTGAATCATATATGGAAAACTAAAAGCAAACACTGGTCAGCAGCAGACTTTTAGATAACTCTTTCATCCCTCATGATACCAGCTCGACTGTGTAAGTATGAAATTGTACTAGGTTGTAAACCAATTCATGAACTTCTTTTTGTATCTTTCAAGTTTTTCTTTGTTGCATCACAAGCAGATATATGCATGACATGATTCTTTGTTTCATATTGTCCAGAAAACGTTTTGGTTTCAGATGTCATTTATTTCCCCAACTGAAAGTCAATTAAGCTCACAATATTTTGTTTTTAATCTTTTATGCCTCTGTTCTTAGTGTAAAATGTAGGATCTATCTTCATATTGCTTTGTCTCAATTAAAAGGTTATGTGAAGCCCTTTCCCTCTTATGCTCTTAATTTTTGTAAACTGTGGACTCATTATGTTATTTAATTTATGCATGTCAAACAGGCATCTTTTGTAAAATCCCAAGACTCTGCTGCTAGAGCCGACAGTGGATCACAAGCATCCAATACTCCACAATTGGGATCCAAAGCTACTTCTAAAGGTTTAAAATCATCTCTGAAGTTTCTTATTGTGCAGCTGTTCTTTCTGCTTCCCTTAACAGTGTTCATGGTGGTAGTGTGCATTTGAGTATAATGAGTAATACAATTTTAAGTTTGTTTTACTGGACATATAGGAGCTGACAATAAGGATGGTAATGCACCGGTTGAAATTCCTTCTTTGCCAAATGGACAGAAGAAATCTGTAGCTCAGGTGAGGCCAAGCACGAGTGGATCATCAAGAGAACTGTCAGAGGAGGATGAAGCTGAAGGGGAAAATGAAACAATGGAGAACATGGATCCTGCTGATGTAAAACGTGTAAGGAGGTAACCATTGCTTCTTTTGCATTGCTGATATACTGGGTCATGCATGTTTTAAATTGGTATGATGAATACTGTGGTAGCTTCAAATCAAATATTCAAAATATTTCCATTTAACTTCTTGAAAATGTTTGTCCTCATCATTAATGAGGCATATTCATGCTTCAGATACTTACTTTGTTAAGTTCTATTCCCACCAATTGTTCCATATGGTGGTTTTCAGGATGCTTTCCAATAGAGAGTCAGCTAGGCGCTCGAGAAGAAGAAAGCAGGCCCATTTGACAGAACTTGAGACACAGGTGTGGTGCTTTTCCCCTGGCATTGGTATTTGTGTGCCCTTCTCCCATTCTTACCATTCCCCCTTCAGTTATAGATGTCCTAATCCATTATTTAATGTAGGTTGGCGAACTAAGAGTTGAAAATGCAAGCTTAATGAAGCGTCTCGCTGACATTAGCCAAAAGTACAATGAAGCAGCTGTGGACAACAGAGTTTTAAAAGCTGATGTTGAAACATTGAGAGCGAAGGTAAGTGACCCATTGATATATTTGGTCTTAAAGTTGAGTGTGTTGGTGGATGGGAACTTTATGCCTGCTTAGACCTTGCGAGGCTCACGACCGGTCAAAATTTTGGCTTAAAGGCTGAGAGTTATCATCGGTTGATACAATGAGCCTGCAGTTTCATATTTCAACCAAAATTTTTGTAGATCTCTGTATACCGGATGTAGCTGAAACCTATACTTAATACTATGCCCATTGGTGAATTGTTTTTCCAGGTAAAAATGGCTGAGGAGACAGTCAAAAGAATCACTGGTTTGAACCCACTGTTCCATGGCTCGTCTGAGATATCAACAATGGCCATGTCATCATTTGGTGGAAGTCCCTCTGATACATCAACGGATGCTGCTGTTCCTGTGCAAGACGGCGCAAAGCATCCTTTGTATCAGGCTTCTGCAAACAATCCTATATCCACTCATGACCTGAAAGTCAGCAATGCATTGGCAGACATTTCTTCAGTTGAAAACATACAACCAAATTCTGCAGGATCAACAGTAATGGGAAGCAAAATTGGCCGGACAGCGTCTCTGCAGCGAGTGGCTAGCTTGGAGCATCTGCAAAAGCGGATCCGTGGGGGCGGAAGCCCCTGTGGGCCTCAGTCCAATGGGGAGCAGTAGTATCAGACAACACAAGCATAGTGTAAGAGAGTTTTTACTGAAGAGTGTCTTGGAATGACAAACCTGCACTATATTTCTGGTTTAACTTGTGGCAAACAATGTTATTCTTTATGTTAATCATGCAGTAGTGCAACTGCTAGATTTAACCCTTCAATTAATCATGTGATAACTGTTAAAGAATGGCTAATCAATACAGTGGTCGATTTTACCATTGCCATTTCCATATCTGCATCTCTCGAGGGATACCAGAAAAACCTGTATGGTAAAATTGGGTTGGCTGTCCTGTCAGGTATGAAACCCGAGCCCAGCTAGGGAAAACAAGTTGTCTACAACAAACAAGATTACGGCCATTGGTCTGCTACGGGGAGCCAGGTGGCCCTTTCAAGGATTGTTAATATAAATCAGTTTATGCGAATATGACTTAAATAATTTCATATCCAATACAACTTTTCCAGGAAAGCAAGGCTGAAGAAGGGATAAGAAGATTCTGTTCTACCAAAGGATTGAAAGAATTAGGTGCGAACATGACATGTTGAACAGGATCAATGGGAGAATCCATTACTCGAGGCCACTAGCCAAGGCCTCCCTCCCTCTTTTAATACCAATTGCCAATGATCCTTTTATTTGTTACAAGGGAGAGACACAACAAGAAAGAAAAAGATCATGCTAATTTTTTAATATTACCTTTCGACTAACTTTCTGCGAAAGCTTAGGCAATCTATTCAGCCTAATTCACACACCATTCTGCTGATGCAGGAGAGAACATTTCCATCTTCCTTACCTGTTCTAAATTCTATCATCTATTAACATATTGCATTCTGTTCCCCTTCGGTGGCTCCCTTTTTTTTTTTTTTTTTTGGCCCAGTCTTTCACTGGCTCTTTATGTGCATGAAAAATCAGCTTGAGAATCCATTTTGAAAATGTGTGAACATTGAATTCTTTCTCCAGTTAGTCTCTCCAGTATTTCTTCTTCTTTGTTTCTTTCATTGCCTCATTTTCCTCTCTCAATTTGCTAATTGCACTCAGAGAAAAACCATGTTGCAACTTCCCTTTCCATATCCAATAATTGAGTCCTACTCCCACACCTACAACCTGTCAAGGTGATTGCTGATGGTTTGTATGGAACTACCACCAGGTTCCGTTTCTACCCTCTTGAGCTTCATTTTCTTTCTTACCATCTCCACTTGCTGCCACCTTTTGGCCGAAGCATAAACATTTGATAAAGCTACATAGTCCCCACTGGTAGCAGCCATATCTACATAAGAATTTGGAGGCTTTAGTCGGAGCAGAATCTTCCCCACTTTCTCAGCCATTACAACATCTCCATGAACATTGCACGCACTTAATAAACTCCTCCACAATATGGCATCAGGTTTCATTGGCATCTCTATGATAAAATCATACGCTTCATTTAGATGTCCTGCCCTGCCTAAAAGATCAACAATGCAGCCATAATGTTGTATCTGAGGCTTGACATCAAACCTGCCTCCCATACTGTGAAATAAATGAAGTCCCTCTTGAACAAGCCCTGCATGACAACAAGCTGAAAACAAGCTAGTGAAAGTCACGGGATTTGGCTCAACACCAGAACCCTTCATTGCATCCAAAAGCTCCAAAGCTTCTTCCCCTCTCCCATGAACAGCTAACCCAGCTCCCATGGCAGTCCAAGTCAAAACATTTTTCACTCTCATTAGCCTAAAAACACATAAAGCACTATTAATGCACCCACATTTTGCATACATGTCAACAAGACCAGTTCCAATAAAAACGTCATTTTCAGGCCTAAAAAATGCCTTCTCTATAAAACCATGAATACAAGCACCACTATAAAGCTCTCCCAATCGAGAACAAGCTGAAAGAACGCAAACCATGGTAGTATCAGTAGGTTTCACCCCAGACACATCATTTAACATGTCTCTAAACAGCAACAAAGCTTCCCTACAACATTCCTTAGCCCTCTCCTTTTGTGAACAATAGCCTTTGATCATGGCATTCCATGTAACACTACTTCTCTCAGTCATTTCATCAAACACACTTCTTGCTGACAAAATATCCTTATTATTTGCATAGAAATGAATCAATGTAGTCGCTACCAAAAGGTTTGACATAACACCAAATTTCAAAGCTTTTTTATGAATTTGTCTCCCTAACCATAATGTTGATAATGAATGCGATCTAGCACAAGCTCCAAGCACAAAAATAAAAGTAAAATCATCAAAAACTAAATTCCCTTTGGAAACCCAGTTGGCAAAAGTAAAGATTGAGACTTTGGGTTGGCTGCATCTTAACAAAGTGTTGAAAAGGAACAAACTTTGGGTGTCAAAGTGTTTGTATACCAACTGGGCATATTTGGTATTTTGTGGAGAGGGTGAAAAGGAGTAGTTCTCAATTAGTTTGGCCAAAAAGGAGGGTTCTTTGAGGCCATTGATGATTAACTGAGCATGGATTTGTTTTATATGATGTGAGGCTATTGGGTTTTTCAGATTTAAGAGAGGCAGGCAGCTGAATCTTGGGAGCGAGTGCATGTCCCCATAAGAGTTATTTGTTGGGTGTAAGTTCTTTTTGAAGGATTTAGAGGTTTAGAGCATAAAATGTTCAGTCTTTATGCCTTTACTTGGAAGTGGGTACAGCTTCTTGTGCAAAAAAGATAGCGTTGTTCTTTGGTATGGATGTATGACCAAAATAAACTAATTTTTCTCCTCTAACAAGAAGCAATTGTCAAATTTGCACAACATTTCCAAACACTTTAAAAAGGTTGCTTTTTCCTCTTTACATTTTCTTTGGCTAATACTATCAAAAGATTTATGTGTAAAATGCCAAGTTAAAAGTCAAATCTTCTTTGGTCAAAGATCTCAGGGACTCCATAGGATCCCTAATCATACACACCCTCCCAAGGTTACAGACCCCATTAATAACATTTTCTAAGTACCCTTACAAAGAAGTTTCTTTCTAAATTGAAAATATGAAAAATGTGAATATTTATTTTACGAAGAAAAGTGAATTTACTACTTAGCCACCACCTACCACCTGTATACGCTAAATATCTGTCTGTGTGTGTATTTAAGCGGATACAGTTAAAACTCAGAAAAGGACAAAACTTGATAGCCTCCAGACTCCAAGTCCCCAACCTTACCCTTTCTGTTTATCTCTTCATCTTGGAAGTGGAACTCTCCTGCCCAAAACCCTTACGTACACATATAAAACTCTCTCACTTGAAAGAAGATCCAGAAACCCTTTTAACTCAAAGATCTTGACAGATTTAGGAAAACCATGGAGATCACTTCCATAACTCTCTCTCTCACAAGACCCCTACCACCTTCACTTCCCTTTTCTTCTGCTCACTCCAATTTTATGACCTGCAGTAACAGCATTTCTTTGTTGAACAAAACCAAATCTCAAAGCAAATCTGTTTTTGTCGTTGGTCAACCAAGAAGGAGAACAAGAGCTGAACCTGCCAAAAGGGGTCTTACTTGCAATGCTTTGTTTGGTCTTGGTGTGCCTGAACTTGTTGTTATTGCTGGAGTGGCTGCTCTTGTTTTTGGACCAAAGAAGTTGCCTGAAGTTGGGAAGAGTATTGGGAAAACTGTCAAGAGTTTCCAACAGGTTTGTTGATTGCTTTATCTGGGTTTTGCTTGATAGTTCGAAAACTGAAGGAAAATGATCCAGAGTTTGAATCTTGCTATTCAAAAATGTTTCTTTTGTTATTTGGTTGTTGTAAAATGGGAAGCTTTGATGTTGTTGCTGAGAGATCTTAGGAGAAAAGTGAAAAGGAAACAAATTTTGACTTTGTTGTGCTGTTTGATTAAGGCACCAATTAAAATTTGAACCAACTAGATGACTTTGTTATGCTGAATTGAGTTGGGCTCCATTGGAAAGAAAATTGAGTTAAGAGTGGATAGATTTACTTGTGGTATTTCTTTTGTGAATTGTTAAATTTAATTTTCAAATTTCTGATTGTATCTTAACTGTCCTATTTTTTGGGGAGTTACTAGGTTAAAGGTATTGTCTTGATGCATTGTATTCCTAGTTATCTGCCATTTCTTGAATTGTTGCTAAAGATAGCTCTACAGGCTTTGTTTCTGATTGAAGGGGCAAGTAAATAACTAAATATACATTGTAACTTAAATTTTAATAAACTGAAAGTTAGTAAAATCTTGTTTACTTCAAAGCTCTAGACCAATGGTAATATTCTTGACATTAGCTTTAGTTCTTGGGAGATAGATTCATTAATTGTAATCACCCCGATAACATTTGGGAACTATTAACCTTGTGTGCTAGGAGTTTTCTAGAAACTTTATATTTCTTTTCCTAAAATGTTTGAGAGAAGAATGCAATGGTATTACCTTTGAATGGGTTGTTCATGGTGCACAACTTGTGTTTAGGGAACTTTATCCAAATTAGAAGCATGGTATAGTAGATATTAGTTAAACTGCATTGCACTTGTTATGGGAAATAGGATTGGTGGGTTAGTTTTTATCGCATTTCATGGATTATAACTGGAGTAGTTTCTTTGCTTTTAAAACCTAGGATTGAATTGAGCCAAACTTGGGTGATCACTAGTTTTAATACTTATCAGTCCCAAATACTGTGTCATCTCCCCTCTGATGTGCAGTCCTCTCTTCTACTAGAAGTGTTGTATGCAAGTTGCCACCAAAAGTTCCTAGCATAGTAGGTCTGCACATTATCAGTTAATTCTTTATTTCAAACCCACAGGAATCATAAAGCAAGAATGAAATCAGCTTGTTGTACTAAAGCTAGCTACAAAACAAAAATAGAATAATTCTTGTGTTTTCCAAACAATGAAGGGAAACCAATTGGAAAATAAAATCTCAATCCGAGTTTCATTTTTATGACCTATTAAAACAACCTGCCACTAAGATGACCTTATATCAGTGTAAAACTCAATTCCTTTGTACAACCCCTTTGAGTAACACGTAAAGAGTTAAGAATCAAGTGAAATCTTGGTGGGGTGGGTGGGGGAGCAGTTTGAGATTGGAGACATAGGATGCCTGGAGCTGCTGTAATTGATTATTGGAGTCATCTTGAACTTTGTTTTCTTAAGGGTTTTCGGATGTAATGTAAAACCAATCATGAGCTACCAAAGCAATTTCTTCTTAGCTGTTCAGAAAACAAAATGTAAAATTAGGATAATTTTACCTAGGATAAAAAAATAATAATGACATGTTACTTTATAATGTTGGAAGCTTGACAATGTATTAACCTTGAAGTTAAGTGCAGCATGGTAAGAAGAGAGGTGCTTTACACTTTAAGTTGGCTGAATGCGGACGATCAACATTTCCCTGGTCAGTGGACAGCAGAAATGATGATCCATGCTAAGATATGTTCTCTTGAGATGCCAGTTTTTATGTCCTAGAAAAACATATCCATCAATCTAATTTAAACAGCAATTATCTAGTTTTCCCAGAAGGATTATGCTCACTTGTTGTTGTTAGTGAACTTTTTATTCTTTTAGTAAAACTATATTCTTTTGATAGAATTATTTGAATGCCATTCTCAAACTTCATTGTACCTGTCTTTTTGTATCCCAATTGCTAATGAATATATTGTTAGTCTGGCCAAACTAATCCGAGAAGGTCCTGTTGTTATCATCTTAATTTCAAATGTGTCATGCCTCCTTTACTTCCAATTGCTAAAGGATATTTTTGTTTGTTTGGTCAAGTTAATGTGAGTAGAATCTATTTGTACCGTGCCTATTTTAGTCCAAATTTCTAGATTTAGTGGGCAAAATATGAAGAAACACATAACTAGATGACCGGAAATTGGAATTAAGTCTGGCTTGCTTTACTTTCTTTCCAATTACGGGGAGGTTCTTTTGATTTATTCAGTGAAAAGGAATGCCATTTTGATGTCCTGGAAATGATGTGAGTTAGAGATCAGTGATTCTGGGTGTCGTGATTTTCTGAGAAGCCTTTCCTTTTAAACTGATATTCAATGACATTTTATACGGCTCATGTTGAGCATTATGGTTCATTAATAACATTCTGGTTGCTCATGCTGAGTACGGTGTCTCCTTGTTAGTGACTTAACTTAATCTTTCATGTAGAGTTCATGAGTATCCCTTGTTATAGCCCTTTTAGATGGCATTTTTTTTGTTGTGTTCCATGATCATTTTTTGGTATAGTTTGCTCTATAAGCCTATGTTTGGGAAACAAAAGGGGAAGGGAAGGAAAGGGGATGGAGGGGGAGGAGAAAAGAGGGAAGGAGAGGGTAGAGTTCCCCCTGTTTGGATTTGTTAAAAATAGAGAGGGAAAGACAAAGAAGGACTGGAAAGGGAAGGAAAAGGTGACTTATCCTTGACCTATAGATAATTTGTTAAACATGGGCACGAGACATTAGTTCCCTCGTCTATACATTCAGTTTCCAATTAGCTCATACATAAGCTGCGTTAACAATTACTGTAAGATTTTTTCTTATATGTTGCCTCGATGTTTCCAAGTAATATTTCTTAGATGCAGCCTTGCTGACATTCTTCATGGTTGATAAGATTAAATTTGATATCCCACAACATTTTGCAGGCTGCCAAGGAGTTCGAGTCTGAGCTCAAAAGGGATCCTGAGTCTCTAACTGAGCCATCTGAGGAGAATCCTACAGCAGTTATCAAAGAGAAGAAACAAGATGTCGAGGTCTCGAAGGAGAGTGTATGAGATTGTAAAACCATCATCTAGTTGGTACAATTTCTCTATTCATATCTGTTGTAACGATGAGCTTAGAACAAATAATTTTGAACCTAGATAAATTATGTTAGCAGTTTTTTTTCAATGGTAAGACCATCACTTGATACATTGTCTCCAGTGCATGTTTGAGAAATTATGGTTTTAGTATCCATTGACCAAACTGCCAAGTTCCGAGTGCTCCGGATTTTTATCCTGCATGAGAGCTATAACTCAGATGGTCGAGGCGTCGGAGGTAGGGTCGAGATCATAGATTCGAGTTGTAATGCTATGTTCTTGTGTCACAGTAACCCTTCAAGGAAAGTAAGCAGGATGCTTCAATCTCACATCACATAAGCAGGAAAAATCCTGTAAAGCCTATAAACATGGGAGTTGCACAATGGCACTTGCACTAGACAAAAAAAAGAAAAAAAAAATCTCCAAGTATCTGTTGTGGCTGAAGGTGGCATGAGGAAATGCTGCTTTTGTGCTTATATTATATTGTCTCTGGAGCAAGGATCATAGCTGCTATTATTGATTAATGATCAATAGTTTCAGCCTGAGCCCACTTCCCCATTCTTTGCCCTTGGTGGGTTTGTCTGAGCCCACTCAAATTGACTTTCTTCTTCTCTTTCTCTAAATTATTTCACTGGTGGGCCAGGAATCATTGTTTCTTCTTGAGATGGACCCCATCCCTAGCACAGGCCATTTTCTTTCATTTTCTTGATTAGGTTGGTAATCACATGTTAAGAAAACTGATTAAGATCCAAAGAAAGGGATTAAGATTTGATTAGACAAAAAAAAAATTGGAAGCATTACTGGTTAATTAATCACACTGATCTAGACGCTATTGGCCCACTCATTTGATCACTGAAATGGAGAGTACCATCTATTGGACATGATGGATTCTCATACACACCATATAAAAAAAATTTGCAATCCTCCAATTTTTAGTTTAAGAGAAAGGGGTGGGGGCAGAAAGTAGGTGAGGATTAAATAAATAAATAAAAATTAATAATAGCAATTAAATTAATAGAAAATCTGTGATATATAAATGTCTTTCTTCTAATTTTGTAATGTATAGATATCACACGCTTTAAAAGGTGTTTGTATTGATTTGGATTCTAATGTGTCACGTAGCACAAATTATATAGAAAAGACAATACAAAATAAATAAATAAATAAAAATAAAGGAAAGAAAACAAATAGTATAAGATAAACATATTGCTCCAATTTGTCTCTTGATGATGAAAAGATCCACTTTGATTATTGTTAAATTTTAATTAATTCTTAAGTATTAAATTTTCTTCTTAATCTAAGTAAATTTTATATAAAACAATATATTTTTTATTTTAAAAATAAGTAGTGTTGTTAATCACATACCTAAATCAATGTTGAACTAGTTTTTTTTTTAATCAATTTACCATATATCACACATGTGATAATTTTGGATATGACATATTAATACGATATAAAATTAATATAAAATTATATAAGTTTAGGTTTAAGATTGTCACGTTTTAGTTAATTGGATTATCATATCAATTTGTATAATAGTTGTATGAACACGTTTAATACAATTCAAACAAATCAATAATATTATAAATACTTAAACTAATTATCAATAGTGTTGCGGCATATAAAATTTAGTTTGATTTATTTAATACATGTATTAGTTGTGTTGTATAATCTGTTTAATAAATATGTTCACGTAGGTAATTAGATTTTGATTAATTAAATTAATTACGTCGTATACGATAAATTAACAGATTTAATATATTAGTATATTATTATATTATGTAGAATAGAAAATGGACTTCATCAATTCTTCAATCCTGTGATTGTTTCCGCACGCTCTTCCATGGGAGTTGGCTTAGTTCCGAGCTCTTTTATTTTCTTTTCCTTTCCAAAAGGAAAGCTTTCCCATTACACACACTCTCTCTCTCTCTCTGTGTCTCACTTTAAAGCCATAACTCACAACACAAACCGAAGCTAGCTCTCTCTCACAGAACACAAAGTTAGACTCAAAGGCCAAAACAAGACTAGGAAGAAACACTCTTTCCAGTTTCAGTTTCTCTTCTCAAAGTCCTCTCTCCTTCTTTCTCTCTCACAACTTCCCATTCAAACCATAAAGAAAACAGTAGAGACCAACACTAAGTAAAAAGGCAGTGAATTGAAAATTCTTCTTGGAATCCGCAATTCTCTTTCCGGGTTATCGGGCTCCGGATCTGCCACCCATTTCACCAACACCCTTCACCTTTCTTGGTTACCCCGTTAAAACCCCATAACTTTCTACAAACCCACCAAGAAAAGAAGAAAGAAAAAAAATAGAGAAAGAACCCAGTTTTTTGAATCTCTTTCCACTGCCAAAAACATTGGAAAACACTTCTTCTATATAGTAAAACTCAAAGGCAAAAGTCTTTATATATATATATATATATACAAGTGACAGAGGGCAGCTGCTTTGTTGGTGATAAGACATGGCAGGTAATCAACAGGAAGGGTTAGGTGATGATTTCTTTGAGCAGATCCTGGCAGTGCCACCAGGCTACGGTGGTGGCGCTGGTGGTGGAGGTGCTGGTGAAGTTGGTAGTGCCACCTTGCCGATGGCGTTACAGTTAGGGTCAAGTGGCGGTCCAGCTGGTGGCAGTAGTGGTGACGGTGGTGGTGGTGGTGGAGGGTTTAGAGGGATGGGAATTGGTGTAGGCATGGGAATGATGCCTCTGGGTTTGAATTTGGAACATGGATTCTTAAGACATGAAGATGGAGTTGTAGTTGACAGCAACAACAGCAACAGCAACAACAATAACAACAACAATAATAACAATAATGCTTCTTGTTCAGCTGCTTCTGCTGTTTCTGGAATCAGTGTATGACATTCAATATCTATCTCTTCCTTTCCATCTGTGCCTATTTTTGTTCGTTTTCAGTATCTCCCTTTACTTTTTAAAGTTGGGTATGAAAAAATTGCTGCATAATTTGTTTTGTCCTTGAGTAATGAATTATTTCAGGATTGGCAGTTTTGGGTTGTCCTTTTTCTATTATTTTTAGTTCCTTTTTTCTTTCTCAGTTGTATGAAGAATAAATACAAAAAATGATTTCTTTCTCCTTCTTTTGAGTCTGAGAACAAACAGTCTACTCTGGGGTATGGACATGTAATAATGGTAGAATCTTAGCAAACTTTTCCTTTTTACAAAGATTTGTAAATGATAGGATAGGATAGGATATTGGGTACAAAGGCTACTATTTTCAAATGGATTCTGAATTTTTAAGCTGCTTTCATGCTCTGGAAATTCAAACCTAAATCTGTGCACCGGACTTTTTTTTCTCTTGCAAAGTCAGCTTTTTCCGATTGGGAAATTCCCCTAACCTTCTTTGGACTTACACCTTTCAAATTTGAACAAAAGTTTCTGCGTAAAGGTTTTATATGCTTATGAAGAAAATTAGAAGGGTAATTCAGTTATTAATGTGTCTTTGTAACTCTGCTCATGGTGGCAGGAGAGAGATTCCATGCATATGACAAGCTTGTTTCCACCCTTTGGACAAATGCAAACTCAGCAAATCCGTCCTTCAGCTCCTCCTCCTCAGCCTCCTCACCAGCTTCACCAGGTGAACTTAAACTTTTTTGGACGAAAATGCCCTTGATATTTGGCTTAAAATGGTCCTACTGGGGGCCTTGGCATTGCTTTCTCTTTTTGTTCTCTTTTTCCTTTAGGGTGTACTGTAGGAACTGACCTTTTTGTACGGTCCTGTCATGATTAACGTCAGGGGTATATTTGATATTTGCGAAAAATCTAGGGTTGGTTGTTACTATTCGGTGCTCTGCACGCTCTTTTGAGGGAGAGTGGGGGTGAACGGGAAAGTAAATTACTGACAACAGAGAATGTGTCGTGCACGTGTGACTTTCTCTACACGTGCGGGGAACTCTGCAATTATCACCTCATCTGGTTTACAAAGGGAGGGCTTGAGTGGTCCTTTTCAGCATTTGTAGTGATAATCTTTGTCAGGAAATAGATTTCCACGCTCTTTCAGTGTTTGATAACAAGCGCGTGTACAACAATCGCATCAAAAAAAGTTGGGTTTGAGTTTCCAGTTTAATTAAAGAAATGGTCCAGGTCAAATGTTTGACTTTTGTGGATGACTGCATTGTTTTGGTTGAGCCATTTTTATATCTTTGTGTCAATTTTTAATTTACAGATTTTTGGCATGATTTCGGGGAATAAAATTTCTTAGTTCGTTGATTTCCCATTGGCACAGAAACTTCTCTTGTTTGACTTCGAGCTCTAGAAAGTCGGTGATTAAGTTCATAAGAAAATATAGAAGTACCCTTGGTTAGATTTGCATTAGTTTCGAGTCTTAATCAGCTTTAGGAAGCTCGATGATGAAATTTAATCTCGAGAATCCTGAATGAAAGTGTACGGAGTAATTTAATCATCGAATCCATTCACCGAGTTATGTTTCCAACTTTGAGATTTGAGAACTATTAGTTCATATGTGCTCTTTTATGCTTAATGCTTACCTGAATCCAGCTCTTCAGATGATCTTAAACTTATATGATATTTTGAAGTAGGCAAGTGAGCCATCTGTACAGAATGGTTCAAAGTGTACTACTTTATGAACATTAATTGTTACCAAAGTTTTAGCCTCTTTTTTTTTTTAATATGGTGGACTGAGTGTTCTTTGAATATATTCTTGATACATAGGAAGCTGTTTTTTTTCCCTTTTCCACGCACTGTCATGGTTGCCAATTTCTTGCTTTTAGTATGCATCTCCATCACGTTTACTAATGGTCCCTAACACCACACAATCCATTACATCCTGATGCAGCAATTTCATAGCCAGCCAACATCAGGTCCAGTTGCTGCTGCACCGCACCCGCCTGCCATCCGTCCAAGGGTGCGAGCAAGACGAGGACAGGCAACGGATCCCCACAGTATTGCTGAGAGGGTAAACTTGATTCTCTATTTCATAAAACCTATAATTATGTTACATGGGGCTTCTGTCAAGTCAGAGTTCTTTTATGAGGTGCTGCTTGGTTCCTTTTCATTGAAAATGCTTGCTATGATCTTTCTTTGACATCTTTTCTTTTTATATATTTTCTTAATAATGAAGTTTGGTATGTTTTTGCCATTTTGATGAAATGAATCTTGGTAATCTGTTCATTTTTTGTTTAATTAGTTTTTTTCTTCTAGTTATTTGTACATGTTCCCTCTTTACTTACAAGCTTTTGCACCTGGTCCCCCTTCCTCCACGTCCTTCTGTGAATGCAGTTACGCAGAGAAAGAATCGCAGAAAGAATGAAAGCTTTGCAGGAGTTGGTTCCTAGCTGCAACAAGGTTTGGACATGCTCAGCATAATTTATATATGATTTATGTTTACTTGTTTGCTGCTGCTATTTGATTCTTCTTCCTGGTGTATAAGAAGTAAAATAAACTGACTTATTCTGTCCCACTGGTTGCTGTTTTTCTGCATTAGAGTGGAATTTTTTATTGCTTTATCTTATTGACCAAAGCCAAAGGCTAGAGCTTCTAGTTGTTTAGTATTTTGAAGTGTTCTGTTTTCTTAAGACTTCTCCCTTGCCCCAAGTTTTGTAACGTCTGCATGCACATGGCAAGATGAATATCATGAAAATGTTTCCATTTTTTATGAAATCCATGGAGTTCATGCTATTGCTCAATTTTGAAATGATGGGGGAATCTGTTGTGGCATCTAAGATCCGCATTTGCTTATGCATTACTAAATCTTCTGCAGACGGACAGGGCAGCCATGCTTGACGAAATTGTAGATTATGTGAAGTTTCTAAGGCTTCAAGTTAAGGTATTAACAATTAAAATCTCGATTTCAATCTTGATGTGACTAAGATTCATTGTATTTCAAATGGTTGTTGTTAAATAGTCTTTCTCAATAAGTTAAGAAAGGAATCATCCTAAAGATACTTCAGTTGCAAATATCTTCAGAGATTTCCTTTTTAAGCATTCCATTCTCTCCATGTACTTTGAGAACACTTAATTGAATTCGTCGCTGCCATGGAAGAACTCATCATTGCTGCTTTTGCAATAGAATTTTCTTCAAGCCTAAGAATATAGAAAAATAAAAATAAAAAGGAAGAAAAAAAGCCCTCATCATCACTATCTAAAAGTTCCTAACTAATTTGAATTACTTGTTCCGATCATGTCTTTCCAAAGTCTTTAGCAAGTCCTTATCTCAGGTAGGGTCCCCTTGCTGAATCCTATACACATCTATGAAGACCTTAAGGTATACCTTTATGTGTAGTAGTTACAATGTCAGACTGAATTGACTCTTGTCTGGTGCCGGAATCTCAAGGCTAAAAATAAGTCATTATCGAATAGTAAAAATGTGAACTGCATTACTGTTACTTGGATTAGTAACTAATGTGAACAGGATTCTACTGTTTCTTCTCTTGTCCCACAGCAAATTTCTGTTATCAATTATATTCACTACACGCCATTAATTCCGTTCAATATTTGAACAGGTCCTGAGCATGAGCAGACTCGGTGCTGCAGGTGCTGTGGCTCAGCTTGTAGCTGATGTGCCGCTATCATCTGTCGAGGTAGTTTATATGGAAGGATCATGATTCTGAGATTTTCCTTTCATTTAGTGAACCTAAAATTAAAAGGAGAATCATGCTATGAAAACATGCAGACTGTAGTATTGAGCATGCAAATTTTCGTGATTAGGAACTAAACTATTGAGTATGCATGAAACCATAAGAACTAAGTCATAACTTGTATGTACAGTTATCTCTGTTGTTGTCATAATCCCTTGTTACTTCATAGTTTGTAAATGTACATTCTTTTCGAGTCCCATACGTTGCACTTGTATACTGGGATATACATGTACATTCGACAGGTCATTTTCAGCAAATCTATTAACTGGATCAAGTAGTTGGCTGTCTTTTTCAGATATACCGTGTTTTCTAAGTTTTGTTTTCCTTGAATTACTTTTTATCTTTCTGTGAATAGGGAGATGGCATAGAAGGTGGAACCCAGCCTGCCTGGGAGAAATGGTCAAATGATGGAACTGAGCAGCAAGTGGCTAAGCTGATGGAAGAAGACATTGGGGCTGCCATGCAGTTTCTTCAGTCCAAGGCACTTTGCATCATGCCCATATCACTGGCCTCCGCGATCTTCCGCACACACCAACCGGACGCACCAACGATAGTGAAACCCGAATCAAGCACCCCTTCATAGAGCGTGCCCATAAAAACGACTTCTTAACCCTGTAATAGTCCTATCCTGTACTCACTCACGATGGCTATTTCGTGCTTTGGTCCAATCTTAACTCTCATTGGCAACATCAGTCAAGTCAGTGCAACCTTTTCCATCCTTCTTTTTTCCAGTTTTGTTCCAAAAGCAAAGAAAAAAAAAAAAGGAGTGATTCCCATACCTATCTTGAAAAAAAACTTGGAAAGGCATATTGATGTTACACTCCATGGTGTAGTCAAGGGAAAAATACTTTTCAAAGGTTTCATTGATGTTTTCCTCTTCTAATATCCATAGTTGATCGAGTGGAGGATGACCCAAAAAAAATGCTGGTGGTGGGAACTCGCTTTCTTTCTTTTTGTCTCTGGGATAGTGGGAAGTGGACCATTGAAAAGGGATGGATAGGTATGTGTATGATGTATTTGCAGAAAAATTTTAATGCAAGTTGAAATTTGATAATGGACTGCCTTGTGGGAACTTTCTGGTTTTTCATAAAGAAGTTTGCTAAACACTGTTTATAAGGTTGAGCTTCTTGTTTCTACAAAAGAAAAGTGAAGTGAGCCCCCTTTTTGAAATTTTGCTGAATGGGTTGAGTTATTGGAGAGAGAAAGGAGGCAGAGAAGCTGTATTTTGTTTTCTAATGTATACATCTACTACCAAAAAGGTAGGGGGGGGTAAAGCTAGTGACACTTTTCTTCTTATCTAGAATAGTACAAAAAGAATGTAGTTGGGATACTAATATCTAGTGATGAATGATGATCACTATAAAGAATTGAACATAAATTCCAATGTGTCAACTGCATGTTTTATGGGAATATGCCTTTAGTTGGGAAGAAAAGAGGATAAATATGAAAAATAAAAAATTGCACAATTTATGGGTTTTGAGACTTCTTTCGAAATCGATTTAGGATAAAAAGTTTCACATACTCAACTCTATGATAATTAGAAGTTATATTTAGTGTTAGGTTTGTCAAGGATCATGATAATTAAAAAATTTTTAATGAAAATGTTTCGTTTTTTGAATTAGTGATAATTATGAAATCTTTGTGAAAATGTTATTTTCTTCACGTTCTTGATAATTTGGACCCTTCGAGTTCTTGATAATCAAAAGATTTTTTTAAATAATCATGTCAAGTCCATAATAATTAGGGTTACGAAAGTATTGCGAACTTGGACATTAACTTTCATTTTTTTGATATCACATTATCAAACCCATATATGACTGGAAGAGGAAACAAACAAATTGGACTTCCAAAGTACAATGAGTTAAAAATCCCGGACACTTTGAAAAAGATAGGAGTGGTAACACATCTTCAAGTGGAATCCTCATAATTGTTGAAGAACCTACTTATAACTTTTATCAAGCTTTAAATCTTAGAAAATATCATTAAGGCTGAGAGCTAAGGATTGCTAAAAAGAACTTCCTTAAAAGAACTTGCTAGTTGTGTGATATTAACACTAATCAAATTTACAGAGCAAATGCTAAGGAAATCAGTAGAGACAAGTAAAACTTTTTCTTGAAACTTGTAGTTACATGATGCTACCAAAAAAAAGGCTTCTAGGATCTGTGAATCCGTCTTTGCCCACACCATCTCTCAATCCTTGAAAGCACAAATGAGTGCTCTTTGTACATGGTCTGCCACTGCCCTTAACCTTCCTTGAGCAGCATCTCCTGCTGTACACCCACCAACCTCCACAGTTCGAGCCACCCTCTGCTTGCATTTCTCCCAGTCATCGACACGCAACCAGCATGCTCGTCCTCCATGGCTTCCTTCCATGCCAAGAAAGGACACGCTGGGGTTTTCACCAAATGAATATCTTAATCTCACTGAGACGCAGTAGGGCAGCCAAGCAGCGCCACCAGCAGCGTTTATATGAGGTATATGGGCAGGGTCAAGTACAACGGTCAGTGCAAAATCCACGGAGTTACGAGGTCGATCATAGTGGATATTGCTTTTAGTCGTGGATGAACTTTCGGAACTATCATCAACATTTACCCCAGTATGATTTTCAAGACACAACTCGATTCGGGGTTTCTGCGCAGGAGCTATATCTCCACCTTGTGTCTGGGCTAAACCTTTTTTCCATGCTATTAATTTCAGGAATTCTCTTAAAACTGATATGGGTAACGTGAGAAGAGTAATGAATGATGCAACTCGTGAGGCATCATAGGGTTCTGATGCAACGCGGCGACTGAAGTAGTCACATATCTCGCATATTTCAGATTGAGTCAATTCCTCTTGAGCATTAGCATTGTTTTGTTGCTGCTGCTGCTGCTGATTGAAGCGCTTCACACTAAGAACCTGAAGAAGAAGTTGAACTCTGTGGACACTTACAGCAAACACATAGCCCCTGCAGAAAGACAAGCAATCAGATGACTATCCAAACACAGATTTCCTCCATATATAATAACTGAAAATCAGCCTAAAGAGAAAGGAGCATTCCAAAAGAAATCAAACAATCAACAATGTTGCACTGTCCTCCCCTATTTTACTGTCTCATTATCCAACCAAGGCTCTGAGCCAAATGAATCCCAATCAATTATATTATACTTTTCCATCTCTATTTTCATCCTATACTTTTATTTGGTTAGGTAGCCACGTTTGCTGAAATCTTTCTATTTTCTAATTTTTAAATCACAAAAAGCCTAATAATCATATGGAAAGGAAACAATGTGGTCAGTTAGGAAGTCAAATCCCACACTACAACTTGAAGCTGCAAACACTCATCTGAAAGCAGTTCCTGTCTTCCCATAGTGATATCAGCACACAAAATAGCCTAAGACTGACCACCATGTCTTCTGCATAACTCTCTCCACTGAATTGATCGTCTTTTAGGAATTACAATGCAAGACACAATGGATTCAACCAAACTTTCGGATGGTCGAACCACACCTAGCCGTGGGAACCAACAGGAGCTTCTACAGGAGGTTGACACATTCAATGCTAGGCATCAAATGATGTACCTTTATATTGGTCATAGTTAGAAGCAATCCTAATTATCATATCTTGTACATAAATTATTACCCATCTATTTTTCACAAGGACAATTGAAGCAACCAAATTAATCATGTACTTTGAACATAGAGCCAGCAAATTCATTAATATAAAGAGAAAACAAGAACTACAGGTAGAAGTTTCCTGCATGTGGGAAAGGTAACTAGAGAAACATATTGTGACCTTAAATTTAGCACTTTCATTCTCTTACCCCACAAAGAAACGCAAGGCAGGCTGTTCCTGGTCCAAGTTCAAAAGGGCACCTTCATTGTCCTTCAAGATTGATCCCAGGATCTCTTTCAAAAGATCTGGTAACTGGGCAAATAACCATAGAACTCCAAGGTACTTGAGAATACCCCTCAGTACCTTCTTAAGAGCAACAACAGGAACCCATCCACCTCCATATCCTCCATCATCACCAAGACCAATAATGGCTGTATTCAGTTCCCCCCTTACATGTGCAGGAACACCACTACCAGGCGATCGACGTATTGGTAATCCCGAGCTCACAACAGCCAAATTTGGGGATCCTGGAAGGGCATTTCCCACACGGTTTAAACCAGCTACCTGGTTTGCTGCCCTAGACATTGCTGCCGAAGTAGGGAGATTAACTCTATTTCCATTTGCTGAAAGCTGTGGACCTGAATTTGAGTTTGGATTGTTTGAATTTGCCAGGCCACCTGTTTGTTGACCACTGGTGAAACCAGAATCTAATCCAATTAATTCCTGGCTAACATGCTCCATAATGAAAGGCCTGAACTGTGGACATGGTAAGGACCCTCCGAAAGAAGATCCCCCCCTGGGTGGTGTTGCAGGTGGTGTCGCTGGTTGCAGCCAAACCTGATCTCCAGCAAAGCATCGCATGTCAACTGCAAAACGCTTGCGATATATTATGCGTATCCAATATGGACCACGCAATACAACAGAAACATCAATGGGCAACAGTGAACTGGGGACAATGCCAGGGCCACCTCTCCCTGGAGGGGCAACTAACATTCCAGGCCCATGGAGGCCATGATTTCCCAGAGAGCTTGCGGAACCAGATGCAACAGGATTTCCTGCTGGACCAGAAGCAGCCTGATTGACATTTGTAGTTGAACTACTTGGCAGAAGTCCCTGGGATGGTACATAACCTGACTGTTTTGGCATGGAAGAAACAGCTGCAGATGCTCCAGGGACTCCTGGAGCAGGACTAGCTCGAGCAGGCCGAGTTGCAGCTGCAAGAGCATGCAAAGGTCCTGCAGTAAGCCGAATGCAGTCCAAGAGGGATGCAACTTCAGCTCCATCTATGAAATCTTCCAAAAACTGTACAAAGCAACTGAATAAATTAGTGCATTTATAATAATCATAGGTAAATGGAACCAAGAAAGGTTAGATTTGTACCCAAGCCAAGTTCCTGTACTATCCAGAATACAAAGTAATCTACATTATATTCCAAAGTTGAAAAAGTATCATGTGTTTATGATGAAAAACATTCCTCATTGCTTATGTGAGATTAGCTTATTACATATTTATCAAGCGACATCCCATAGGTTATCACACACTGCTACAATGTAGTTCACAGGAAATTTCCATTGAAACCCTACTTAAACACATTCATGTAGGTTCATGTAGGTTACTGGTTTACTGATCAGTTGAGGGAACTCCTTATGCTCATAAATGATCAACCTTTAAATCAGTACACTTCCAAGAAAATGATGCAACAACTTTAAGATAACAACCATTTGTCCAAAAGCTAGAAAAGTAAAAGGTATTAAAGTATTCATCCCAGCATCAAAACCCGAGATTTGGCTCATTGGTTGGTGCATGATCTCCCTACTTAAAAAGCAAAGTTCAAATTCCCCTTCACCCAATTCCTTAAAAAAAAAAATCAACCAAGATGGCACCGGTAACCTTTCATTCAGTGTAATTCTGAAAAACTCAGAATAAATGCCACTATCTTAAGCCCATCTAACATTCTTAGTCAAGTTCTTAGGGAAAACAAATTGAAGATAGGCCAAGACATTTTGTAATTTTTCATAAGAAAAAAGAAACATGGAAGAAAATTAATAAGTTGCTCACAAATGATATCAATTAAAAATGAATAGGACTGGCATAGGCCATAGAACATATGAATGTGTCATGGAGATCATACAGGAGGATTGTATTCAAACACCAAATCAGAATGAAAAGCATGATTAGAACTATGTATGAAATCAAGGTAAAATAAATGAGAAAAAGAACTAGACAAAGGAAAAATTTCCATTTAAAAAGAAAGAATTAGGAAAACGAACCTTGGTATGAGGCCAAAGTTGGTCAGGGGACACATGCATTGTGCAGCCTTCTTTACCTGATTCCCACTCCACAACAAAGCGAGCTAAGACACCTGATCCAAAGCAAAACCACAAACTCAACAGTCCTACGGCCTCAATTTTGAAAGACCTTCTCATCTGTTCTGATAACTTATCAGCAACATCAACAGCACCTTTGCCTCCAACTGGTGCTTTAACATCAGAGTTTGCACTGCCGTCATCAGGTTTCTCATC